GAGATGATGCCAAGTTGGAAAGAGGAGAACCAGTAGAAGAACTTAGATCAGTGATCCTAGATGAGGAATATCCAGACCGAAAGGTATATATCGGCTCTTCCCTTTCTAAGGATTTGGTCCACCAGCTAATGGACTTTCTAAGGCTCAACATGGACATCTTTGCATGGTCACATTCAGACCTCGAGGGTATTGACCCTTAGGTCGCCACACATCGCCTTAATGTTGACCCTCACCACAAGTTTGTTCGCCAAAAGCTAAAGGGTGCCTCCATTGAAAGGGCCCAAGCGATGGAAAAAGAGGTGGGAAAGTTGATAGAGAACGGAGCAATCAGAGAAGTAGCCTATCCTGAGTGGCTCTCAAATGTGGTGATGGTGACTAAAGCTAATGGGAAATGGCATCTCTTTGTCGACTTTACTGAGCTCAACAAGGCGTGCCCAAAAAACAGCTACCCATTACCACGAATTGATCTCCTCATTGACGCCACCGCGGTACATGAGTTGCTCATATTCTTGAATGCATATTCTGGGTATAACCAGATTAGCATGAACCCCCCAGACTAGAAAAAGACATCATTCATTACACTAAAGGGGACCTACTGCTATAGGGTCATGCCCTTCGGGTTAAAGAATGTTGGAGCGACTTATCAACGGTTGGTAAACAAGATGTTCCAGTTACAGATCGAAAAAACAATGGAGGTATATGTGGACGACATGCTAGTGAAGCGTCTCGCCGCGATAGACCACATTGACCACCTCCAGGAAACCTTCAATGTTCTCAGATCGTATGGCATGAAGCTGAACCCCAAGAAGTGCGCTTTTGGCGTTGGATCGGGAAAGTTCTTGAGCTTTATAGTCAACCAAAGGGGAATTGAGGCAAACCCCAACAAAATCAAGGTCATTCTCGACATGAAAGCCCCTTCCTCGACCAAGGAGCTCCAGCGCCTCAATGGGAGAATTGCAGCACTAAATACATTCGTCTCCAAGTCTGCAGACAAATACATACCTTTTTCAAAATTCTCCAAAAAGCATTTGAGTGGGTACCTAAGGCAGAGGAAGCCTTCCAAAAGCTTAAGGTCTACCTGGCTACACCTCCTCTCCTCTCACATGCTGCACCGGGCGAGACATTATATTTGTACCTTTCTGCTTCCGCATTGGCAGTGAGCTCCATCCTCATCAGAAACCACGATGAAGTACAAAAGCCCATCTATTATGTGAGCAGAACCTATCGAGGAACAGAAATCAGGTATTCAAGACTAGAGAAGCTAGCACTCGCCCTCATCACAACAGCTAGGCGTTTACGACATTATTTTCAAAGTCACACCGTTGTCGTGATCACACATCAGCCTCTAAAGAGAGTCTTGAAAAAATCGGATGTATTTGGGAGACTCCTCNGGCGTTTACGACATTATTTTCAAAGTCACACCGTTGTCGTGATCACACATCAGCCTCTAAAGAGAGTCTTGAAAAAACCGGATGTATTTGGGAGACTCCTCAAGTGGGCAGTGGAACTTGGGGAGTTCGACATTCAATACCAACCAAGGGCGGCCATCAAAGCACAAGCATTAGCAAATTTTATTGTTGAGCTTACACTAGCAGAAGAGGAGAATAATGAGGCATCCAGACCAAGCACCCAAGACAGGGCAGGCATCCAGGCTTGGCGCCCAGGCCCCTCCTAGAGACCAGATCTCCTCTCCAGGTGCCCTGCTCTCCTCCTTAGGCGCCCAGATCTCCTCTCCAGGCACCCAGCTCTCCACCTCAGGTGTTCCCAGGGGCTCAGTCTAGCGTCCAGACTCCTAGTGTAATCTCCGAGCCCTCCTCTCTACCACTCTGGAAGCTCTATGTAGATGGCTCCTCGACCACCAAAGAAGGAGGAACAGGCCTAGTCTTGATCAGCCCAGACGGTACTCCCCTTAAGTATGCAGTGAAGCTCCACTTTACAGCTTCCAATAATGAGGCCGAGTACGAAGCCCTCCTCTCTGGATTAAGATTGGCGGCTGAAATGGAAGCCCACCACCTCACCACCTACAGTGACTGTCAACTGATCGTTAATCAAGTAAAGAGCGAGTTCAAAGCAAAAGGAACCAGAATGCAGGAATGCCTCAGCATGATGAAAAGCTTGATCACAAAGTTCCAATACTTCCAGATCTGTCACATCCCAAGGGAAGACAACATAGCCCCTGATGCACTTGTCAGGCTCGCCTCATCCTTGGAAGCCCCACTAGGAGAACCAGCATTCATTGGTCACCAGTTCGAACCATGCAAGTTAGATATGGAAGCTATAAACATCAACTATGCATTGACTAAGTCAAATTGGATGACCCCGATAAGAACGTACCTCCAGGAAGGTGTGTTTGCCAGAGGACCCACTAGAAGCCAGGAAGCTCAGAATGAGAGCCTCCAAGTTTACTGTCCTACAAGACACCCTGTACAAGAAAGGTTACTCCTTACCATTGCTGCGATGCCTCTCCCCTGAAGAAGCTGACTATGTCATGCGGGAGATCCATGAAGGAGTTTGTGAAAATCACTCTGGAGGGCGCTCCCTCGCCCACAAGACACTTAGACAAAGCTACTTCTGGCCTAGCATGATGAGGGACACCCAGAAATTCGTCAAAAAGTGCGACAAGTGTCAGCGCTTCGCCACTGTGCCCAAACAGTCACCAGAGGAACTCACAGTCATCACAAGTCCATGGCCCTTCTCCAAATAGGGCATCGACATCCTGGGCCCCCTACCTCTCAATAGAGGACAGTGCAAGTTCATGGTGGTAACAGTAGACTACTTCACTAAATGGGCAGAGGCAGAACCCCTAGCAAAGATAACAGACGCAAAGGTGAAAGATTTCATTTGAAAAAACTTGGTCTGTCGTTTCGGGATACCCCACGCCATCGTCAGCGACAACGCTAAATAGTTTGATAACAAGCTCCTGAACTCCTTCTTCTCTAACCTTCAAATAAAGCAGCCTCATTCAAGCCCCACGCACCCGCAGGCGAACAAACAAGCAGAAGTTATGGTGACAACGGTGCTACGCAACCTAAAGACCAGGCTTGAAAAGGCGAAGGGTCTTTGAGTTGACGAGCTCCCAGGTGTTTTATGGGCCTACCGCACCACACCAAGAGCTCCAACTAGAGAAACTCCATTCTCCCTTGCTTTTGGAACTGAGGCAGTCATCCCCGTGAAAATCGGGGTACACTCTCTAAAAGTCCAACACCACGATCCCGTCACANCTCCAACTAGAGAAACTCCATTCTCCCTTACTTTTGGAACTGAGGCAGTCATCCCCGTGAAAATCGGGGTACACTCTCTAAAAATCCAACACCACGATCCCGTCACAAATGAAGAAGGACTCCGCATCAACCTCGACTTGGTAAAGGAGGCAAGGGAGATGGCTGTGGTCCGTAATGTGGAGTACAAGCGTCGCATGGTAAAATACTACAACTCGAGGGTAAAGCCTCGTTCCTTCCAACCAGGAGACTGGGTCCTCAAGAAAATGATACTCGCCACAAAGGATTCACGCGAAGGAAAGTTGGAACCAAATTGGGAAAGACCATACCTCATAACAGAAGTGGTGAGGCCAGGCACTTACAAGATCCAGAATTCTGAGGGGAAAGTTTTACCCCATCCATGGAACGCGGAGCACTTGAAGAGGTACTACCAAAGGCACCTTGACAGAGTAGAAAAGTTGGGGACTTGGTTTTATTTTTTACTCTTTTGTGGGGCTATTACCCGATATTACTTTATATGAGCAGAAAAACGAATAAAATGATCCTAGCTTCCTTGGGCAAAAGGACTCCCAAGTCCTTGTTAGGATGATCCCTCACAGCCTGCAATTTCCACTCTTGGTCTTTGGAGAGACCAGGAGGATTTGCAAGAGGAATGATAAGTTAAAAAAAAAAAAAGAGCAAAAGAGAGAAAGCAAATATGTGACATACCAAGTTTCTTAGGGACACCCCATCCTCTCGGTACCAAAGTCTGATCGGCCTCTGCAGCCCACTCTCCGCCGACAAATATAAAGCGAGATTTTCAACTATGACAGTTAGACCGCAGACCGGTAATTAACTTGTCTCTCGTGGTGAAGTAATACCAACCCCGATTGGGAGCGAGGGTCTTACTTAAAGTATAAGCTCCATGAAACTCCTCAGGAGAGGCATTCTCATGGTGCACTTTCCTCCACAATACAAGAAAACCCAACAAGACTCTCCAACCATTGGGTGACAATCGCCCCGGGGTGAGGGAAAAATAATGAAGAATATTGCAAATAGAAGGAAATATAGGAAAACCTAAGCCTAGCCTCCAGTATTTCCTCATAGATGACAATGTCACCAAAGGAATCATCAGAGGCAGGCTCACCCATCTCGGCTCGACGGCACAGCACAGTCGGAGGAATGTGATAGGCGAAGACAATTCGCAAAATATTGGCATCCGTATAAAGTGCTAGAAATGCTATTTACCTTGGACCCATCATCAGCTATTTTGCTTTGTTGTTTTTTCTTGCGAGAGCGCAAAGTGTGGTCGGTGCCATTCCGAGGGAGGCCTTAAGAAGTCGGGGCGCCCAAGGCAGCCTCAGGCTCACCCAAAGAACCCCCATGCTCGCCCAACGCCTAAACGGCACGCCCAGCTATCCCGCACGTGGAAGCAGCGCCCAAGGGCTCCTCCTCCCTCTCTTTTCCTTCGCCTAATGGGTTGCCCAGCACACCAAATGCTAGAACATTCCTCTGCCCACACCTTTGCCCTATCACGCGGACATTGTGCTCACCCAGACCGCTCAGTGTAGCGCCTAAATGGCTGTCCAGTCCAGTGCCTAAAGTGGCGCTCAGATTTCTGTTCGAATCAGCGCCCAAAGCACCCAACTCTTTATCCTACTCGCCTGCCACGTGAGTTGCATGCCCCTCTGCACGACCAGCAAAGGCGCCTAGCACCTGGACAGCAGCGACGCCCAGTGCCTGCTCGCCCAGAGATTGGATAACAGCGGCGCCCAGTGCCTGGGCAACAGCGACGCCCAGCTCCTACTGGCCCAGCGCCTGGGCAGCAGCGACGCCTAGTGCCTGCTCGCCCGACGCAGTGGGCTCCCTCGTTCTCTCCTTCATCCCACCTTGCTCGCCCAGCACATGAGTTGCTCTCCCATCATGAACCATAACAACTTGCTCCTCCACCATAGCCGCCCTCACATCGGATAGCATCATGGACGCGCGAGCAGCGACGACGGACGTCCCAAGCATCTCCACGCCGACGTCTACCTCATCCTCCATCTCTCCTTGGATCACTATAACAACCCCATGATTACTTCCTTCATTCGCCATGGATTCCTAACACAATTCCTTGAAGGAGTCTTGGAAATAAAAGCCCTTTTTTCACTTTCTCAAGTTTCAATGGAATGAGTAAAGTCGAGAGAGCTACTATTTATACCTAGGGTTTTTTGAAAACAAGGAAAAGGCAAAAAGACCCAATTCAACACCAAGGGCTTTTCTAGCATTCAAAAGGGGGAATAAAAGGAAGAGTTTATGTAGCTGGAGGAGTCAAACAAAGCTAAAATATATATCAGATAAGAAGGAGGAGCCTTGGTATGTAATTCAAAAAACCGTTTTAAGGTCCGGGGGCGCTGCCCCCGAGAGCCCGCCACCTGACCGGGCAGGTCGATCTCCGCTGTCATAGTGCAACATGGACGTAGCGGGTGAGGAGTATTCTTGGGTCAGAATTCAAATTCAGTTGAATGCCCACTTCTCCAAATTTCATTGGACATGGGGTATTGGGGGGCAAATGATAGGTCAAGCTCAAATGGCCCAATCCATGGGAAAAAGCTCAAGCTTATAGAAGACCAAGCAAGCCCAATAAGGTCCAAGACGGTTAAGCCCATCAGAGAGCTATGGGAACATTCAGGAGCTATACCCTTGCCCGTTGAGGAAGAGAAGAGGTCGCCAGGAAGAGGAGAGGTTGTCGGGGAGAAGAGAGGTCATCAGCTATTAAGTTGTCTCCGGTCCGTTATAACCGTCAAGCTACTCAATTACTACGCAGGCTTCTATAAATTGTAAGCTCTCCCAACACTTGGGGGGCATCTCAACAAAATCAAGCTCATCTCCCTCTCTCTTGTAATTCTTGCTCTCCCAACGCATCGGAGTCAATAAAATTCCCAGCCAACCTAGCAATTGAAAGTGGACGTAGGTCTCATTGACCGAACCACTATAAACCTTATTTTCTCTCTCCATCTACTTACTGCATTTTATATTGCTTAATTGACGGGTGATGTACAAATCAATTTTGTGCATCATCAGTACTGATGTTGATTTCTAATCATATATAGTAAAACTGCTTGAAACATGAATTCTCACTCCAGGAGTGAGATCCACGACCACCAATTACACTTGTGATAGAAATCAACTGACTGGCCACTGATTAACTATTTTACCATGTAGATTTCCATTGTAAAAAAAAAAATTAATGGTCGAAGGGCCGTAGAAATCACAGGCATAAACAAACACTGAAATACAGCTTATCCATCTAAAACCAGCAACAAAATCTATCATCAAGTCTTTGGGGCCCAGCATGGGGGATTATGTTTCCCTAAATTATGACGATATCATTCGCTTGTGTGATTTACCCAAATTATGGCAATATTGTAATGACAAACCACAACGATCTCAATCTTCTCGAGTTCAAAAAATAATTAATCTAGAAACAATGTGCAACATTTTCAAACTGGTTAACATCTGGGCTTTAAAAAATAGAAGCGAAGCCTTGTGTGCTGCAATACATTGTACAAACGAACAAATGCCTTCATTATAGAAACTTATAAAGAAAAATAATACCTATATATCTATTGACTTAAAATCCGTGTCTCTGGCTATTCTAGGTGTCAATTGCATTCAAAGATGCAATGTATGACACTCTATAACCATTTCAAAACATTATGTGCAAAGCACACCATCAAAACAAGCGCTTCTCATTTTCATGCTCAAACAACTCAAAGTGAACAAAGAAGTAGAAAAAGGCAAGATAGGGAAGTGAAATTAACCAAATTCAACTGGCAGAGCAAGTAAGAGACAACCCAAGGTCCAGAATCTAAACCCAAACACCACCTCAGAAGTGCATGAGCAAAGGTTTGAGTACAAGTAATGTACTTCTTTTATCCACTCTAAAAACCCCCTCTGTAATTCCTAAAACACAAGCAATTAAACTTAAAAACAATGAATTCACTACAATTCTCAACAAAACTAATATTTTGTTCTAAGTAGGCACGACAAAGGAGCTCCCAGGAAATGGGGAAAAAATGGCACATCATACAAACTAATTTCCGAAAATGGCATAACATGTAAACCAACTTGGAAACATTCTGAAAAAACAACAGGGGCGAGTGAAGAAATGTACCATGGCGCACGGAAATTCAAGGGAACATCAAGAAATAGGTCAAAGGAATTATTTTCTGAGGAAGAGATCATGACGACGGTGTGGAATTGAAGAGGCGACCAAGAACAAAGGAAATGGTAAAGTTGACGTTGAACAACACATTTAAGGCTCTGATCGGAAGGGAGTATAATTGTATCCCACCGATAACTGAACTTTTCGAGGCACAAAGAGCAGTTACGATGAGGACGTCCTTTCAGCTGCAGAAACCCTGCTCAACCCCGCGATGAAGAGAGAGCAGAGACGGCCGAGTGTGGATCGGTCACGCTCGAATTCCTACGCGCGCGGGCAGCATTTGTCGTTTCTTTTGTGTCTGGGTTTTTTTATGGAACGATTTACTACTTTGGCGGTGATAGTTGACAGAAAAAAATTGCAGGGTCCAAGTCTAACCAGCAACATTAGGCAATGGTACTTACCGAAAAAAAAATATTAGGCAATGGTAAGTGGATTTAAGATAGTCACAAAAATTAAATTTGATAATTATTTTATTGAGGGTTTTAATATTTATTAGGATCATTACTTATTCAATAATTAAAATTATTAAGTCTAATTTTTATGTCCATATAATTTTACTCTTTGGGTAGACCATTACCATCTCCAATCTTTTACTTTTTTTAAATCTAAACATAAGTTTAGGTTAAAAAAAATTAAAAATCTTATCCAGTGTTAAGCTTATACCCATATCAAATTAAGAAAAAATTCCTTTTTTTACTCATATTAAGGAAGATTTAAATTTATACTCAAATTTTTAATTGTAAGATTTCATTCTCCTTTAAACATGTGATAATCATATTTTACCTTCTTTTAAATTTAAGTTTATCCTCATTTAAATTTGAATTTTCTCTTCGTTTAAATTTGAGTTTCTCTATCAGAAAGATCTATATCAAATTAAGTTTTTAACTTTCTTTTTTTAGATTTTCATTGGAGATGATCTAGACGATCAGATATTTAAACCCAAACTTTTACTTAAATTTGAGTAAAAAAAAAAGAGTACAAAAATTAATTTAGTATAGATCTCTCCAATAGAAAAACTCAAATTTAAATGAATATAAATCTAAATTTAAAAGACGATAAAATATGATTATTGAATATTTAAAGGAGGTAAAATCTCACTATTAAAAATTTGGGTATAGATTTAAGTCTCATTTGATTTGAGTAAAAAATTAAGTCTCTCTTGATTTGATATGGATTTGGATATAGGATTATAGAATAATTTCAGGAATTTTTTTATCCAAATTTAAATTTGAGTTTAAAAATAAATAAGGATTGAAAATGCTGTTACCATTTTAATTTTGGAAATGTTGTAAATGCAAGAGTGTGCACGCATGGATAGTATTAATTTTGTAATGTAACTAAAAAGGTAAAATTATTCTGCATAGAGTTATGAATAGTATTCCCACCTTTTTCTTTTATTAAAAGATTTATTTCATAACATCAAGCAATAATGAAATCTAAATAAAGCAATCAAAAGAAGCTTTAAAGTTCTAAAAAAGTAGTTTTAATTAATAAGCTAAAGAGTTCATAATAGGTAAAGTCCAAGGAAAGAAAGCTAACCTTGAATCTTATCATTAAGGCTTTGAAGACCTAACGTGGATGAGCCACAAGAGAAGGAAATAAGAGTTATATTATTCTCTAAAATTTTCTCTATTTAGTCTGTGTTATTTATTTTATGCTCAATTAATTTAATAATTTTATAGCAGCACGAAAATTAGTCAACTGAGTTATTGTCGAGTAATTTTTTATATCCAAAAGGTAAACTCATGTATATAAATTTTTCAGTTTTAATGTAACACCATACATATTATAAAAAAATATGATGTGGGTGTTTTGATTTTTAAATTGTCATTATATTTGAATTAATACTTTTTTTTTATCATATTTGAATTAATACTTGAAACACGTGCCTAAAACACACAAATTATGAAATTTAATATAAATTATGTTCATGAAGAACATGATAGAAAAATCTAATATCTAAAGTACAAATAAATTTTATTATACTTAAAAAGGGCATACTTCAAGTTTATAAATTATTGTGGTACTAGAAGATCACAATTTAATTTGTAGAGCCTAAAGGTCATAAAATATTAAATGCATAAATTTGATGCTTGTAACATTTTTTTCTCATTATATTCATGCATATTTAATTATTTATTTTTTGTCATATTTGTTCAAACCTTTGGGCATATCTAAGATAGTTAATCCCACCTTAAAAAAGTGTTGGTAAATATGCTATCTATCAAAAATATTGAAAGAATCGATCCATAGGGATCCATCCCATAATTGCAGAATTGAAGAGCTGCCTAATATAATCAATGGTTAATTATACAAGAGATCCCTAAAGTATGATGTTTATTTCATTTTGGTCTTCAATATTTTAATTGCATCATTTAAGCCTATGAAATATTGAATATACTTCTATATGATCATTCAAATAGACAGTATTCAAATTACTAACGATTTTTTATCATAAATTTGTCAAGCAATACCTAAATATAAACAAAAAAATAATTTGGGTAAGTTTTGCCTAAATTTTTACCCAAATTTTGATTAAAGAGCTACTCAAATTACATAGTTTTTATAATAAACTATCCAAATTTTAATTAAAAGTTGCCCAATTTTTTTTTTCCTATATTTATATATCACGTGATATGTTTATGATAAAAAACTGTTAGTAATCTGGATGTTATCTACTTGAGAGACTAAATATAAATTATTCAATACTTTAGGAATAAAAATGATGCAATTGAAATATTAGGGACAAAAATAAGACAAATTATATACTTTAGGACCTCTGATACAATTAACCCTATAAATCAATTTTATATTTTGATCCCTATATTATAATTAGTACTAGTTAATTCTCCCTACTTTTTAAAATTATATTTTTACTTCGATATTTTTATGGCAGATTTATAAATAGATTTTTTTTTTATAGCAAAACAATATAAATAAATGAGATATTTTATTATTGATGCTAAATTACAAGAGAGCACCACTAATTTGTGAAAATACAAATAAACTACAAGACTAGTAGTTAGAATACATGAGTTGTAGATTAATCTTATATGCATGAAACGAAACAAAGAAAATAGTAAATTCTTTTCCAAAAAATAAGTCTAAGAGTTGTAGTTAGAATACTACTATTATACTATATAAAATAGTTTACAATTCAAATTTCAAAAGATAAACAAAATGACTTTTGTTATTCACGGTTGAAATCGTTTTAAATTTTACTTTAAAATTAATCTAA